TATATATACACATAATAACGAACACTCACGCGATCCAACATCGTTCGTTCAAACGGTAATATTAAGTACGCAATACGCATTTTCGTGTTTACAGTAATAATAGTACTTTACCTGTATGTGTATATACCGTCTGCCGCATAATTTTGTTTTTCGATCGCAAAAACCCCTCCCCGTTCGCCGTCCTTCCGCWATCGTCCGCTGCAGTCGCGATTTTCGTCACACAGACACGTAGAAAGTACGTACGTAAATCCACTGCAGACTATATGATATAATAATATTATAGCAGTGACAACCATGTCGCGTCTGTCGGTACTAAAGTCGCCTTCGACGGCAGACGGTTTAATGTTATGTACATACCTATATATATATATATATATATATATATACATATACATATATACTCGACGTATATACACATATTATGTATATGAGTCGCGGATAAACGAAAATCGATAACAAAAGCATTTCGCCGTTGGCACTGCAATGTCCGTCGCATTATACTCTGCTGCAACTGCACTCGAGAGTCGGACTATAATCTCATCTGCTCGCGACAACGATGCGTAAATAATATAAAACAATATTATTATATTACCGACGACGACTGCAGCTGCTGGTGGTGGTATGGTCTCCCCCGCCCMSTGCACAAGCCGCGGCCGTCCAGACGAAAATATTGCCAATTCAAATATAATGTTGTAAATACTGTAGTTATACACACGTATAAATAAAAAATATTTATTTCCGGATTGTACGGCGCACGTGATCAGTTCGGTCGTGCGATTTACTTACTATATAATATCAGCTAAAATTTAGTAAMATAATATCAAACCGCGATGATATGACGTGGTTTCGTGTGTGTGTGCGCGCCTATACACGGTAGAGGTGATGTTGGTGCGAGGTAGCGAGGGTGGTTTGTGTGTGGGTAGAGGGGGGGGACGGCATTGATATACATTGGTGGGCGACACTGCACAGCGAAGGAGATTCGCGACAGAAAATCGAACGTCGCGTCAAGAAGATGATGGCAATAAAAAAAAAAAATTAACGTACCCACCGCAAACGAATTGACAGTTTCTAGAGATTCTGTGTAGTTACTACGCGTTTTTTTTTTTATGTAGGTTACCACAGGTACCTGCACGATGAATGGTATCCGCCGGTGCAGTCATCGCGGTATAATAACGCTGCGGCCGATGATCATATTTTTAGGTTTATTATTATTTATTATCATTCCACAATAGCCGTGAAAATACATTCAAATATTATTACTATATAATGTAACCCAGTCGAAGCTTATCCCGCACAAGAGACCCGGGTGGGCCATATTCATAATGATGATGGTTTGTGAGTGTGTATAAAGAAGACTACGATGYATCATGTAGTTTATGGACGAGCAGCGATTGTACCGTGTTCTAGGTGCTTGTACCTATAATACAAYGGTCGTAGTGGTATAATGATGAATGTCCGCTCTCTGTGTGGCGGCGATGGTGGTAGTTTGATTTTGAGGTGAGAGAGTAATCGTTAGTGCACCGCAAGCACACTTTGGCAATCAATATTAATAATTATTGCCGCTGTCCATTCGTCGTCCGTTGTTATACTAGTCCCATCCGGAATCGTATAACTATGCCTCCATAGGTATAGGTACATCCATAGTAACTATATAAATGTATACACGTGTGTAGATTCAAACACAATAATATAATACCTGTACGATCGTGATCACTGCATCTGCAGTAACGAGAGAAATCCTTTGATGATTGGTCCAGCGAAGTTGGCGGCGATGAGGGGAAAGTGGTCGTAAACGATAAGGGGAACTAACCCGTCCCGGGCGTTGTGATCACCGCCATTTATTTTTTATTTTTTGTACATAATAATATTAGGATTAGACATAGCGGTAATAGTATTATTGCGATGGTGAGGGATGGGTGGGCGGGAGGGGATTGTCTGACGACGGATTGTTCTGCAGTTGTGTGACGACATAATATTAGGTATTGCGATAATAGATTTTAATGTTTTCTCTTCGAGGCTGGTGCAAGAGTGCACATTTCCGTTGTACTTAAAATATAGTGATTTCTATTTCCGTTTGATAAGAGAAAAAAAACGTAATATTAAGCATATTGTAAACCGATTATAGGTTAGGTATTAATAAAATAATATAGGTGCCCGTGAGGTTAGGTTAGGTTCATATAATACAGCAGACCTTGTAATATAGGTTAGGTACCCCCGAGCACGATGATTTCGGATTTTCGTTTCAAAAGTTGCGCATATCAACTATCGGTGCAGGTTGTTGAAAAGTCAAAAGCGCAGTTGCAAGTAATGTTTCCGGGTAATTGTATATTAAAATATTGGCTATTAATTTAAAAATAAAAATAATTAACTTACAGTAAAAAAATAATAAAGCGTCTTAACTATGTATTTTTATGTCTGGTTAGGCAGTCACACCAATACATATTTACACTTGGTTATTCGCAGAGACAAAAAATTTCGATAAAAAAAAAAATAGTTTTCATAAAAAATAATATTCAGTCGCGTTCGTCGTTGTGCGATTTGATCGTAGACGCCCTAAAACAACGGCGGCGGCGTGTTAGTTTTGCGCGATATAACTTACTATACTATGACGTGTTATTTAATATGCTGATATATATATATCGATGAGATAAGCACTCGGGTGTCTTATGTTTTTGAAACGTATTTGATGGTTCTTATAATATATCATATGCGTCTGTCTGTCTCACTCTGTCCCGTCCCTCCTTCCCACCCCYCACCCGTTTTATACAATTTATTCAAACGTTTTTAATAATATTTAAATTTGACATTATAGTGACACATATATCATTTTTTTTTTTTTTCATTTTACATAGTATAGTATAATATAATATATTATAGGTAGGTACGCATTTTGTTTTGATAATAGTAATAATTATAAAAAAAATCAAAAACAATAATCCATACGTTTTAAGTATGAGGCTATATAATATGATGTATATTATGTTATAATATTATGTAAAAAGTTAATTTATTATATTAACGATGTTATATATTATAATAACATTTTACCCACTCGCTTTCAACAATGTGTAAGCACTGTAAACTGTGTACATTACTTATACATTCCATGTGATTGCATATAATATTTATATATATTATAATATTATTAATAATAATAGATATAAGTTAGTAATTATACTACGTACTTTATTGTGTTGTGYATTTTTGTTTTTCTTGACGCTTAAAAAAACGTTTGTGACGGTAGGTACTTACCGAAAAAAATAATTTTACTTGTACAATTATTTCGAACCAATCTTAAACTATGTATACTGCATGATGCACGTGCTACAACAATATTAGGTATGCTTAAGCTTAAAATTGTAGAGAATTTTTTTTTCTCGAGCAAAATCCAATAAATAATCGTTTGATAATAACTATTGTCGCAAGTTCGGTAGGCATATAATACGACTCAGCTAGGAAATGCAAAAAGATTACAATATAATATTATATTAAACTGATTTCGCGACGTTTTAAGACAATCATTCGACAAACATTAATAACAGATTATTATATATATATATATATATGCCTATACAGTATACAATTATAATTAATATTCTGGTTATGTGTTACCGCTTATTATTTGTGTTGATTATAAAATATTAGTCGTTAATATTGTTTATTATTATTATTATTATTTGTGTAATGATTATATTATTATGAATTTATCTATAATAGTTCATAACGCAGTAACTCATTAGACAAGAAAAAAAAAAGCGAAAAAAATAAAATTCATGATCTCATTTTGCTCCTTGGACTATCTATAKATAATATTATTAAGTATATTACCTATTGTAATATTATATATAAATGCCTACACGTGTATTAAATTATATTATAATTTATAGATTTTCTTTTTGTATTATTATTGTACCTAAGTATTGTGTGTTATTCAGCTTTTCTTGTTTCTATTTTTTTTAAGTTTTTTTTTTTTTTTACGAATGCTTTCAGTATTTTATTTAAATGCCTAGAGTTATAATATATGCATACCTCCATCATGGAATCATCATTACTTGCATCCCACGGGATTATAATTATTCATATAATTGTACCTACCGAATAATGAAATAATATTAGACCATTTTCAGTGTTATAATTTGGGTAAAAGTAAYACGTAATTTGCGCGGTTCGCTTTAACATTATTGTATGATGATAATATACACACGAATCAACGTCGAATATAAAATAATAGGGCATTTTTTTTTTTTCATTATTGTATAAAATCATTAAAATCAAACACTTTCTTAAAATCCATGTCCATATAGGTATATACTGTTTACACATACCTAATAGTATATTATAATCATATTATTGTATTATTATATTAGTATTATATAAATATATAGGTAGCATAATACACTATATACCTACGTTTATGTACTTCGTTTTGTTATATATATATATATAATGTTTTTGTTTTGTTATCGTGTCGCTCGTAAGTCGTAAGTGTTGTTGAAAAATAAAAAAATGTAACGTATGGCATTGACAAGTGATGTATTCAAACGAAAATTACGATTATGTTTATCGATGTTTTCGCGAATGAAATATTTAAATGTGAGATTATTATGTATTATAGTTACCTTCTAAATAAAAAACAATGTTTATGTCGTGATACACATTAAACCATATCA